ACACACACATCCATCTGTTTATGAATGGATCTGGATATGACAAGCTTTGTTTAGCTTGTTCCGTCACCCATTGTCCCCTGTTTCTTGATCGATCTCTTGCATTTCCTTCAGCACAACACTGGGGCTGCACGATTCTATCGAATCTTTCCAACAGCCTCATTCCTGACCCTTCTGCTCTCTGATCTGCCCCTGCGTTCTCCTAAACTGTTTTTCACGGTCCTGTGATATAAGGCTTTCAAGCCTATCCACATGAAGCATGGGCCATTCTCATCCATCCTGTTCGCTCCAGAAATCCGTCACTGCCATAGTCATCGTCATTATCATCAGGAGCAGCAACAGAAGCCGTAGGAACAGCAGTGGCCACAGCAGCTGTGGAAACACTAGCACAGCGATTACGGTGGTCCCCGCAGTAATCGTGTGGCCAATCAACTTGAGTTTACAGTAGGTAGAACCGCTGACGATTTGCCGCGTCAGTTGGTTGACTAGTTAGTTTGGCACTAGCTTGTTGAGAGGAGTTCAAGTATATACTAGGAGTTTTGCACAAGCGAGGTGTTGATGAAACCATGTTATCCTTCGTTACCCTTCATTATCATCTGGACTTGACTGAAGTTGACTGAAGTTGACTTGAGTTGACTTGAGTTGACTTGAGTTGACTTGACTGTTGACTGGAATTGAATGGATTTTACTTGAGTTGACTTTTGACTGGAGTTGAGTTGGTTGACAAACTTGGCAAACTTGACTGGAGTTGACTTTTCACTTGAGCTGTGAGGAATGTGAACACTCTAGAAAGAATATCTTTCCGGATGTGGGAGGATCGGAAACCGCAGTCTGTACTCGTACTGGGAGGGTCCTCGATGTAGTCACGCAAAAAATGGCCAGATTCCATTGACAAAAACCGGCAGCGTGTGTTTTCCCTCGGCCTTACAGAATAGCAGAGTCTTAAGCTTAGTGCAAGCAGCGACAGGCGCCGACAGCATATGCTGTCCTCATTGTGTGTTTCGCAAGCTTTTTTCAGTTGGCCATTTACAAGCTCTGTTGATAATGTACATAATGACTTGACGGGCAAAAGAGAATCGAATCGCCTAGTACAGAGGCAGGCTCGCTACTCAGCCATGTTCAAAGAAGGTTGCTAGTCAGCCATGTTCAAAGGCTTAGGACAGGGCCTAAGTACAAAGTAGTACATAGGCCAAGTACAGAGCCTTGGCGCATGGACTGGAGTACAGGGCTCACTCCATCTGCAAAGGCTTAGGACAGGCCAAGTACAGAGGCTTAGCGCATGGCCTGGAGTACAGGGCTCACTCCATCTGCAAAGGCATAGGCCAAGTACAGAGTCTTAGTGCATGGCCTGGAGTGCATGCAAGGCTCAGGAAGGGCCTAAGCGCATGGCTTGGAGTGCATCCAAAGGCTTAAGACAGGGCCTAAGCACATAGTACAGACAGGGCCTGAGTACATAGTACAGAGGCTTAGCGCATGACCTAAAAAGCACATCGTAAGTACAGAGGCGGGTTCACTACTGGCCCATGAACAAAGGCCTAGGACACAGAGGCTTAGCGCATGGCCTGGAGAGCATATCGTAACTACAGAGGCAGGTTCACTACTGGTCTAAGTACATAGTACATAGGCAAAGTACTGAGCCTTAGCGCATGGCCTGTAGTACAGGGCCTAAGTACATAGGCCAAGTACATAGCCTTAGCGCCTGGCCTGGAGTACAGGGCCTAAGTACATAGGCCAAGCACAGACGGAGGTTCGCTACTCAGCCATGTACAAGGGCCTAAGTACGCAGTACACAGGCCAAGTACAGACGCTTAGCACAGGGCCTGGAATACATACCCTAAGTACAGAGGCAATGGAGCAACTTCAGCCAGGGCAAATGTGCCTAGGCTATGTCCAACAGCCGGAGTATGGTCGTTCAGAAATATGCCAAGACTAGCTTCGGTATGGAGGTTCGGTAGTAAAGAATGTGGGTGATGTATGGAGACTAAGTGGTGAGGTACTTGGGAGGACTGAAGAATTACACCAGAGAATCTGTCTATGAAGTGTGAGCACCTGGTTATAGGTATGTTCCCCCACCCCCCCGCCGCGCCCGCCCCCCCCCCTTCCGCCCCAAATAGGGTTGTAGGGATCTTTGGCTATGAGGGGTTATCTTGCTCCTCTCATTTTGTCATGAGGAGTGCATGATGTTGGATTTTCTCAAACGTATGGGATTGGGAGGACAGGCGGACAGTGAGCATGAAGAGGAGCAGCAGTGTTTGCAGAGTCTGCACAGATCCCAGATGGCGGAGAGGTCGGGACTCGGAGAACATAGGTCACATAGTGTGAATCTTCTTCTAAGGACTCTGTACCACCACTACACCCGGGCCTGCCTGGAGGCGCTGCACTGCACGCCAGGCTTTTCCAAACGGCCACCGGTGCACATTTTTTCTTTGTGGGCTGGCGCTGCCAGCCATTGTGGTCTGCTAGCCCCCCGAGCGGCGAAAATTTCGGGCTTGGGAACTCACGATGCTCTACAAGGCTGGGCCCGTGTACTGGTGGACCGTGGTGGTATGACCATTTCTGGTTGGAATCAGGTTTAGGGTTTAGGGTTTAGGGTTTAGTCAGGTTTAAATCAGATCCTAATCAGTTTAGGGTTTAGGGTTTATATCAGGCTTAGCTCAAGTTTACATCAGGTTTAACTTCGATTTAATCAGGTTTTGAATTTTTAACCAGTTGTAATGATCAGGTTTTGAAATTTTAACCAGTTTTAATCAGGTTTTAAAACTTTTAAGTTTTAATCAGATTTAGATCAGGTATCAGGCTTCAATCAGGTGAAAATTCAGATTTAAATCAGGTTTGAACCAGGTTTGAACCAGGTTAGAACCAGATTTAAATCAGGTTTGAACATTGAACCAGGTTTAAATCAGGTTTGAATCAAGTTTAAACCAGATTTAAATATAAAGATCAGGTATCAGGCTTCAATCAGGTGAAAATTCAGATTTAAATCAGGTTTGAACCAGGTTAGAACCAGATTTAAATCAGGTTTGAACTTTGAACCAGGTTTAAATCAGGTTTGAATCAAGTTTGAACTTTGAACCAGATTTAAATCAGGTTGGAACCAGGTTTAAATCAGGTTTGCACAACGTTGTAATGGTTAAAAGTTAAAACTGACCTTGAGACTTTTAGGTCAAGCAGATGCTTATTAGGTCGATCAGCTCTGTTATGAATGATAAAAGCATTAAAGCTGTATAGCCTATTGGAAAATTGATATAGGCAATGAGATGAATAGCTTCCAGGTTTAGGTTAAAATCAGTTTTTGATACCTTTCAGAGTCCTGTAGAATTCAGAATCGAGTGATTGAATATGATCGGAGTCGCTGCTTAAGTAAAGACATGACGGACTCTACAACTACTAAACGCATGTTTCCGCTCATGAACACAATCTTCGGAGGCATCGTGCTCGAACCAGAAAATGACGCCAAACATGGGAGCGGAACATCGTCGGTCCGAAGATGGGACCGCTGCTTGAAGAACAATGCCTCCGTTGGGACCGAAGATTTTCTTTGAGGACAGACTCGCGAGAGGGATGGACGGTACCAGAGATTGTCAGGACAATCTCAGAGAGCCAAGCAGCAAGGCTGCTCGCGATGGCGAAGCAACGAGTCAGGAGCGACACAAGGGGGGGAAGAAGGGGACCGAGAGGCTGGGAGAAAGAGAGATTGGGGGTGATAGATAGATAGATAGATAGATAGATAGATAGATAGATAGGTAGATAGATAGATAGATAGATAGATAGATAGATAGATAGATAGATAGATAGATAGATAGATAGATTGAGAGAGAGAGAGAGAGAGAGAGAGAGAGAGAGCTTCTGAAGGAAGTTTTGGTAATTTAAGAAAGTAGAGGTCAACCAGAACCGGACGGAGTACGAGAGAGGGATGGGAGGCTAAAGTTCAATTGCAGATGAGACACAAAAGGAGCCCCAGCAGAGGCGAACAGTTTGCATTTGTGTCAATTTGGTCAAGAACCGGCAAACGGATTTTACTAAATTATTTTGAGTTTTTTGTTTTTGTATGTGCTGAGAAAGGAAGAGGGAGAGAAGAGGGTAGCAGAGAGTAGAAGAGAGAATCTGAAGGAGGTTTTACGAGGTTCACAAAACTACTGGCGACCGGGAACTGGGCCAGTGTATGAGGGAGAGACATGGAAAGCTACTAGGTTTCCTGACGCGTGGCATCATCGAAAAGGCTCCAACCTAAAATTGAATTTCAGGACTGGCTTTGGCTTTGGCCTGTTTTTGCATCAGAAGGGGCAGAGTTCCTTTTTCCATTTGTTTTCTTGATGTGTGTGTGCATGCTGAGAGTGACAGACAGACAGACAACAGACAGATCCAGGGCGGGAGAGGGGGGCGCGGGGCGGGGTGAGGGGGACGGTTTGTGTTCTCGGGCGTGGGATGCACTTAGCATGAATCGGGTGATGTGATGATAACAGATAAGCAGAGTAAGGAGCATCCAGAAGCTGATAGGCAAAACTGATAGCTAGAGGTTCGCAGCGCTTGACGGCGTTTGACGCCAAAGTGGTTGAGTGGCTTCTTGTTGTATTCAACTGTTATCATCATGAAAAACAGCACGCCTCGCTTATGATCGTGAAAAGCGTCCTTGTCATCGGTGATTGACGTGTTCTTCAACTCCACTGAACGCTTTCGGAGTTTTTACTCACGGGTAGGAGGTCTCGAAAGTTTGTAATCGCTTGAAGAACTCGTTAAACATGTCTAAAAGAGCAACCGAGGCCCTTTGTTCTCCGGTTGTTAACTTCGTAGTAGGTGACGCCCACCACAAATCCCCAGCCGTGCACACCCATCCCCCGGAAAAGGGTACGGATTTGCACATGCAGCATGCAGCATGCAGTCGAGTGCTGAAGGAGCACAGCTTGGTAGTTGGGATCCACCTGTCGTGGATCGGCGCTTGTCTCAACAATGCAGTGATGTTGCCATTCACATTTGTTTCTACAGAGGAAGGGTGAGAGAGAAAAGGGAGGAGGGAGGAGGGAGGCAGGAGAGGTAGTAGGCTTCGAGCATATCGAGACCTTCGAAGCACCAACAGGAAGATAGAAATTTGCTTGAGAGGGGGTGTTGGAGAGAAGACTTAACAGAGGGAGAGGGTGGTCGGTCGAAGAAATCAAACATCTCCGATTTCATTTGTGTCCCTTTGTGTGTCAGTTTTGCAGCTATTCTTTCAACGGATTGGAGTAGGGATCTCATTTCTGCACAAGTTAGTATTAGATTCAACGACTGTGAACCGTAGATGTAAGAGGACGGATGGTTTGGCGCACGTTGGCGTTTTAACAGTAGATCTATAAGGTGGAGAGAAGACCTTCAAGAGTTCTACACCTCTCTCTCTCTCTCTCTCTCTCTCTCTCTCTCTCTCTCTCTCTCTCTCTCTCTCTCTCTC